GCTCTTTTTTCAAGAGCTTCTCAACCTGCTGTTTTGTCTTGCTCTTTTTTCAAGAGCTGCTGCCAAACTGCTCGAGCCATGCTGCTGCCTCAGGCCAGCTCCTGAACACAGGTCCAGAAAACCACCTGTGGTCTTCATAGTTTGTCATGACAGGCAGCACAGTCAGGCCTTTTTTCCAAGGCTTCCTGGCAGATTGCCCTGTTGTCATCCACCAGGTAAGTGGCCCCCAAGTATTCACACCATGCTGCCTTCCCCCACTCTCCAGTGGGGTCAGAACAGATGATTACATCTGTCCACTTCACTGGGAGCTGCTTGGCCTTTGCCACCACCTCTTTGCCCCTTGCCCACCCTGCAAAGGACAAGAGGATGATGTCAAAGCCCTTTTGCTGCAAGTCCCAGATGCTTCTTACATGTGCATCTGGCACCACTTCCTCACCCTTTCTCTTCACTTGCAGCACATTGTGCCAGTCCACTGCCACCACCTTATTGGCTTGTGGTGGGGCATTCTCTTGCCTTTTTTGCAAAGGCTCAGGAAAGCTGGTGTTGCTTTCACTGCTGCTGCTGCTCAGGCTGACCTCCCTCACAACCCCTTTTTGCAAGGGTTGTTCCTCCCTCTTTTTCCACTGCTTCCTTTTGCCAGCAACAGTGGTCCACTCACCAGACCCTTCTTCTGAAGTTTGGGCCTCTTCTGCTCTTTTGGCCTGGGCCTTTGCTTTGGCCTGAGCCTCAGCTGCAGCAGATGCTGCCTTCACCTCTGCCTCCCACTCATTGAGAGCCTGCTCCATCTTCTTCATGTGGAGAGGTGTGCAGATGTGGGCCTGTGTGAGCACCTTGTTGCACAGCAGGCATTTCTCATCATCCCTCCACCTCTCCTGTGGCAGCTTGCGAAAGAAGTTAGGCTTGACCTCTTCAGCTGGCCCTTTTTGCAAGGGCTGAGGTGTGGCCTTTGCTGTTGCTTGCCTTTTTTCCAAAGGCTTGGTTTCTTTTTTCACTTCTTTTTGTTCTTCTGGCCTTTTTTCCAAAGGCTGTGTATTTTCATCAACTTCTTTTTGTTCTTCTTGCCTTTTTTCCAAAGGCTTTGCTTCTTCTCCTGGCCTTTTTTCCAAAGGCTGCTCTACTGCTGTGGCTTCCTGCCTTTTTTGCAAAGGCTCTTCTTCCTTCACTTTCTCTTCTCCTTGCCTTTTTTGCAAAGGCTCTTCTTCCTTCACTTTCTCTTCTCCTTGCCTTTTTTGCAAAGGCTGAGCCCCATCCTGTTCTGGTGGGGCTGCCACAGCTGGAGCTGCCTGAGCCTTGGCTTTGGCAGCCCTCACAGCTTGCCTTTTCCAGGTGGTGGACCCCTTCCCTTTGAGCCTGCCTCTTTTGTTGTAGGGGTTCCACCACTCTGCATCTTCTTCCCATATGTCTTTCGACCACTTGTAGGGCATGGCACAGCCCTTTTTTCAAGGGTTCCCTGTTTGCAAGGGATACCCTTTTTTCAAGGGTTGCCCTTGTTTCAAGGGCTGGTTGTGTTTCCTATGTCTTTGTCTTTGAGCTTGAAACAGCTGCAGAAAAACACACATGTGTACATGTGTACTGGACAACCCTAGTGCACATGTGTTCTGAAACAATTCCAACCCTAGTGTAGAAAAACACACATGTGTACATGTGTACTGGACAACCCTAGTGTACATGTGTTCTGAAACAATTCCAACCCTAGTGTACATGTGTTCTGTTACAATTCCAACCCTAGTGTACATGTGTTCTGGAAAAATTCCAATTTTTGGTGTGCCAACCCTTAAGGTTCCAAGTTCATGCTTGAACCCTTGGCTTGCTTGGGCACATGTTTTTGGCAAGGGGCCTGAAAGCTCTGTTAAAAAAAGCTCCTGTACAAGTGGTGTCAAAAACACTCCCTTTTTACAAGGGTTCCCTCACTGCCTTGCTGGGCTTCTTCACAACCCCTTTTTTCAAGGGGTGGTGGCCATTCAGCTTGGGTGCCTTTTTTGCAAAGGCTTTGCACAATGCAATCATCTGACCAACTTTGATCTCAAAGCAATAGCATCTCCCTTTGTTAGTTTTTTTCTTCCATGTCTTTCTTGATTCTGAGAATGATACCTTTGTGGTCCTTGGACCACTTGGCTGGGACCTCCACCACCAACCTTCTTTGTGTGCTCCCTTCTTGGCAGCCAGTGAGGTAAGTTCTCTCTGGATCTTTGGCACTAGTCACCCTCAGGCTAACCCAACTTTTGCTTGGGTCTGGCCCAGCTGTTTTTTTAATCAATGGCTGGCCTTTCTTTTTTGCCTTTTTTGTCAAAGGCTGCCCTTTCTTGGGTGACATTTTTGTCGAAGGCTTGGCAGCTGGCTTTTTATGGGCTTTGCTGCCAAACCCCATGGCTGTCTGCAATTCCCAGTGGTCAATAACAGGGACCATGGCTGTGCTTGAAGCTCCTTTTCCTTTTTTCAAGGGATGTGATAGGCCTGTGCACTTGGTGTCTTTTGTGTCTTTTGGGCTTTTCAGGATATTGGGGAAACCATCACTGTCAAGGCTTGCATCGCTTACCCTTGCTTGGAGTACCTTCAGGCCTTTTTCCAAGGCCTCTTCTTCCTTCTGTATTATCTTGCTGGTCACAGCTTCCAGCAGCTGGTACTCCCTGGCAGTCAGTTTGGCTGCACAGATTCTCTGAACTTCTTTATCTCTTGCTACCTTTCTTGTGTGGCACAACAGTACAGTGATTCTCTCTGCTTTCTGGTTTGACCAGGTGTTGCCATTGAACTGTGTGTTGTTCAGAGAGATGTTGGAGGTTAGTAGGTTCATCAAGGCTGTCCTGAGAACTGATGCTTGCAATTCACATGTTGGAGATACTTCGATAATGTCCTCCAGGAGGTGCCTGACTTGCAGCAGGCCATGAGGTTGGACTGCACTGGCCCTTGACACTGTTTCATAGGCACCCAGGTCTTTGACTACTTCTGCATTGTCTTTCAAAATTTTGAGCACAAGACCTGGGTCCACTGAGGGTTTGGCAAAGTTCCTGGCCCCTCCCTTTACCATTTTTTCAATGGTTGTTAGAAGTTTGGATTTCACACCTTTTTTCCAAAGGCCCAACCTTTTTTCCAAAGGTCACACCTTTTTTCCAAAGGTCACACCTTTTTTCCAAAGGTTCGAACAATTGTTCTGGCTACAAGCCTGATCAATTTGGGCCAACAGCAGCACATATAGCAGCACCAACAACACCTCCAAGACATTTCCACTAGCAAATACACAGCATTTCATGAAACTCCAAAGCCATGTCTTGACAAGATGTGGCTGGCCCTGAGACACCCACATCCAAAATCAATATCAAATTCAATAAGGGTTTCAATAATTCAATCAATATTTTTGCTCAAAAGCAGCAAAATTTGAAAATTGAAATTTTCAATTTTTTCAAACCATTCAATATCAATATTTTTTAATCAAAAATATTGATCCTATTCAATATCGGATGCTCAGGGTCATTGTCATTTGAAAAAATAAGAAACACCAGGCGAACAGCCAGCGCCCAGCACCGGCGCCCGGCACCGGCGCCCGGCACCCTGTCTCCACCACGCGCGCAGCCAGCACCCAGTACCAGCACCGGCACCCTGTCTCCACCAAGTGCACAGCCAGCTCACAGCACCGGCGCCCGGCACCCAGCACCGGCACCCTGTCTCCCGCGCACACCCACACAGCCAGCCACCGCGTGCACAGCCAGCTCACAGCACCAGCACCGGCACCCGGCACCAGCACCAGCAACCTGTCTCCACCACGTGCACAGCCAGCTCACAGCACCAGCACCGGCACCCGGCGCCGGCACCTAGCACCAGCAACCTGCCTCCACCACATGCACAGCCAGCTCACAGCAGCAGCACTGGCACCCGGCGCCCAGCACCAGCACCGGCACCAGCAACCTGTCTCCACCACGTGCACAGCCAGCAGCACCAGCACCGGCACCCAGCACCAGCAACCTCTCTCGAAAGCGCGCGCGCGGGCAACTCATTGTTAATTGAAGTAAGAACCCCATAGCTTCGCTATCTGGGGAATAATGTTTTTTGACAGCAGGTTCAAAAACACTGTAAACAGCGGTGTTTGGGGCCACGGGCAAGCTCAAAAGCGTCGCTACTTGCAGTGGTTTCTGCCTCACAGAGGATAAAAACACGGTAAAATACACATAGTGATGTTATCGGCAACGTCAACCCCAAACACCTCGCTATGTCTAGTGGTGTTTGCTTTCCGGTGTATGAAAACACTGTCAATAACAGTGTTTTGGCAGATGCAAAGCTCCATATACATATGTATGTTAGCAGCGGGAGCTGAACGCAACAATCTGTTTGGATCCACACTTACTAAATGGCAACATGATGAGCCCTTGTGATATATGGCGATGAATGAAGATAGCGCACACTTCTGGCGTATTACCTTCTACGATCGTTGTTGCGTCATGCCATCACTCATCCGACTCGCTATTGACTTGTAGGGCAACATGCAAGGCGTGAGCACAAACCTGTTTTTTTTGTCTTCGACTTCGGTTTGGAAACGCATTTTGTTTCCGTATGTCTTGTCGTGAAAGCTGGGGGGCCGGATTTTCTGATTTCGAAGCTGTGTGGGTGACAGTTTTCGTCCTTCTTGTTGGGCAACTGTTTCATGGCGGCGCGGGCGGCCCTTGCCGCGGAGAAGCGTGAATATATTCGTTTGTATAATTGTGTATATATATATATCTTATTTCACAGTACACCATACCCTCCCCAGACGAACACAGACCACCTCAATTTTTAAGAGGTGGAAAGGTGGGTTTCACCAGTGTGCATATAGTCGTGTCCACTCTTGAAGGAAAGCGGGACCGCTTTCGACTTCGGTCAAAAAGAATTGTCGTTTTCCAAAGACAGAATTGTCTCTGCCGGCGACCGCTTTCAAGCGCCACCTCGACCACTCAACATGGCCAACTCCGTTGTGGCGCACCCTTTCAGACGTTGCGAGCACCGCGCTGCACCGCGATGCGCCGAAGCTTCAGGCGATCCGCGCCACCACGGGCACGGCCTTGTCGCCCTTCGGCACCTACTCGGTGGAGCTCAAAGACACCTCGGCACCCTGGAAGCCCGACGCCCGGAGGAAGAGCGGTTGACGGTTTCGACGAAGCGTGGAGACAGCGGCCCGCCCAGGGAAAGTGATCCGATGTGATAGGGGTGACATGTAGAGTGTTACTTGTGCTACTTGAATCTCGAAAAGGTTAATGAATGGCGTTGGGTTGTTCTGCGTGAACTTTTTTTAAGCCTCAGGAAGACATCATGCTGCGGGTTTGCAGCATGGCCAGCTATGGAAAGCCCAATGCCATCATGATTGGAAGCGCGGGGGCCGTGAAAACCATCTGGGCCTATGTGCACATGGGATCCTTGGCTGTGTCTTTCAGGGACGTCTCGACCACTTCAGACCGGTACCGAGACCTCGGGGGCGACCTGTTGCGAGGCTCGGTGAGTTTGTTGGGGGTGCTGTTCCGACCTTTGTTGAGACAACCCATGTTGACTTTTGGCGTTTGTTGTTGATAAAAGCACATTCCATCCACCACCCTGGAAGCTGCTGAAGCCGCTGAAGCTTTAGGAGATCTCCTAAGAAGGAGCTGCAAGCTTGGTCTACTTGAGCTCTACTTTGAAGGGTTTCACGGTTTCCCCTTCACAAACTAAGTTTTTTTGGAAGGGTTTCCCCTCCAAACTTATTGTAGAACCCTGCTGTTCAAGCTCCACTTAAAAGGGGTCACCTAACCCTCCTCATCAAGCTTTACCTAGAAGGGTTTGCCACCCAAACCCTATCTTCCAAATTCCTCCAAGCCCTTCTCGAGCCTGCCAACGCACAAGCTTTGGTAGCTCATATCCCGGCGACACAGACCAGGGGGACTTGAAGAAACACCTGAATATGTTTGTTCAACTTCCCAGGGTTGCATTTGTGGCACACCATCACAAGTTCACTTTCTCGAGGCTCTTGGTCGGTCTATGGATCCATGAGCAGCCCAGGCGCGCTGTTTTTTTTGGAAGGAACAAGCAAGACACCATTGGGACGGTCGCAACTAGATAGTTGCATCTCCCACACTTGTTTAGACTATTGAAAACGGCTACAACGCGGACTGTGGTCACCTTGCTCTACAGTGTTGTGGGGGGATTGCTTTTGCAGTGAAAGGAGGACATCCCATCCCCGAATGAGCAAGGTGGGTAAGGAGTTGACAAATATGTTTTATATATTGACATTCCAATGAAAAATGATAGCTTGTCTCCAGGTCTTTCCGCATGATGGTTGCTTGCCAGGTGATGGTGGCGGGTGGATGCCAAATCCGCCCATACCTTATGCGGCCATACCACCGTGTTAAATACACGTGAATATTTGTGGTTATGCAATTCCCGACATCCGTAATCCGAATCGAAATGAATAGATATTGCCATAAGCGCAAAATATAGTTTAACAATAGATCATATATTAGCTATGTATAATGAAAAGTAATATATTTATTTAAAGGGTAGCTATGGGGGGTGGAGTGGTGTAGATTGTAGAGACGCAGCTTTTTGTGAGGATAGTAATTTGTAAACAATAACAAATGCACATAGCTTCTGAAAACAATAGACACACCAAGAAAAAACAACAAATTTAGACTAACAAGTGACCAAAAACCAAAAATGTTAAAAAAAGAATCGGTTATGGTTTTTGTCTAGCCTTTATTGGGTCCCTCTCCATAGGTTTGATCTATTGATTGTTTTGTTTTGGTTGGTCTGCTAAAGTGGCTAAAAACAAAAATGCTAAAAAGATAATGAAAAATAAACATTAGATCTATATCTTTTGTTTAGCCTTTCTTGGGTCTTTTTTTATGGATTTGATTTTTTGTTTTTTGTTATTGATTTATTTATTTAAAAATGATTAAAAGAAAAAAATAAAGACGGAATTGATATTTATATTTTTTGTCTAGCCTTTCTTGCGTCTATTCTATTCTATGGATTTGATTTTTTGCTTTTGATTGGTCTATTTAAAAATATTTATTGATTTTATTTCTAATTAATAATTATTTATATTTAATTAAACTTTATGAATATTGAATTAAATATAATTTAATTAAATATATAATGAATTATTTTAATTAAATTATATATTTATTTTTTTTTTTATTTTAAATAATATTATATAATATATATTTATATATTGTTTATTTATATTTATGTATTTGAAAATTATTAAAAGCAAAAAATTAAAAACGGCATTTCGATTTATGTATTTTTGTTTAGTTTTTCTTGTGATTATTTTATTTTATGGATTTGATTGTTTGATTTTGATTGATTTATTAAAAAATATTTATTGATTTTATTTCTAATTAATAGTTAATTTAATATTAATTTAATTTATGAATATTGAATTAAATATAATTTA